CTCCTCCTCCTCCTCCTCCTCCTCCTTTATGTGAATCTAATAAGGATATTTTCAGCCTCTCTTGGTAAGGCACTTACCTGGAACTGTGAGTCTAGAAATTTGTGGCTCTCCTGTTACCCATCATTATATTGGATTATACTAAATGCTGCGTTGGTGCCAACATTTTTCTCTTGTCTTATCACTCAAGGAAATGTCTTTGTCACAAAACCTCTTTGATTTGTACATCCTGTTACAATCCAATTCAGAATATCCGAAGAATTTAACCTCTGCAATTTCCTAGGTAAAATTATAAAACTAGTGCCTCTTCAACAACTTAGAGACCAGAATGTTGCGATGGTCAAATTCCACTAATCTGTGCAATGCAATTCTCAATAGTTGACCGGTGCCAGAATAATGTTGTCAATATTTTCATTTAATTGTAAAATGTACATTTTTAACCAAGACACATTTAAAGTTTCCAGAAAAGCATAGGTTGGTGTGAAACAAAAATGAAAAGGGGCAGAATTAAAATGAATGAAAACGCTACCAATTGAAAACAAAGATTTACTCCTTCTGACTATAGGCAATTTGATTTTTAAAAAAAAATATTTTACAGAAAAAATATATATTTTTCTTCCAAGCTATTCTTATGTTCTGCAGAGGAAGCTTTCCCAGCTTGTACAATTACAGTGTTGGAATGAGACTCCACCTTAATATATACTGTTTCTTCTTGCATGGTGTTTAAATCTAGATAGCAACTGTACCATTTTGATTTAACTTTTACTGCTTAATGAATTTAGTGTTTGGGTTATAGGCTCCAGTGGTGAATTCAGCTGTTGATTAGTTTTATTAGTGAAAGCACCTTTTGATGCATAGCTTGAAAGGTGCTATAAAGATAGTCTATTGTGTGGTTGTACAGCTATTGCTTGAATATTCATTAAATCATTAAGTAACAAAATGATAGAGAAAGAGAGACAGTTATGAATAATCCCTCCGGGGAGGAAAACATCACTTTGTTGTTCATTTATTTCACTATTATTATTATTATTTTTTAAAAAAAAACCAAAAATCAAAAGCTATCAAATGCAAAATTCTTAAGACTTTCCACTTTCGTAGAAAGGAAAACAAGATGAAAAGATTTTGCTGGTTGAAAGAAAATGTCCCTTTCAAGGACTGTAATGCCATTTGTGGGTATTCAGTTGAGATGCAATTAAAAAAAAACACCTCAATTGGCTTTTGATTCATTTTGGATTAACTGGTAAGGTTCCCCTTGCACATATGTGCTAGTAGTTTCTGACTCTAGGGGGAGGTGCTCATCTCTGTTTCAAAGCCAAAGAACCAGCGCTGTCTGAAGACGTCTCCGTGGTCATGTGGCCGGCATGAATAAATGCTGAAGGTGCATGGAACNAGACAGTCTAAGGTTAAAGTTTCTGGGGTTTGGGGAAGAAACCACAGAGTCAGGTAGAGCATTCCAGGCATTGACCACTCTGTTGCTGAAGTCGTATTTTCTGCAGTCGAGTTTGGAGCGGTTTACCTTAAGTTTGTATCTATTGTGTGCTCCTGTGTTGTTGTGGTTGAAGCTGAAGTAGTCATTGACAGGTAGGACATTGCAGCAGATAATTTTACGTACTACGCTTAGGTCATACCGAAGGTGGCATAGTTCTAAGTTGTCTAAGCCCAAGATTTCAAGTCTGGTGGCATAAGGTATTCTGTTGCGAGCAGAGGAACGGAGGACTCTTCTCGTGAAATATCTCTGAACTTGTTCAGTTGTATTAATGTCTGATGTGCAGTGCGGGTTCCAGACAGATGAGCTGTATTCGAGAATTGGTCCAGCAAATGTTTTGTATGCTCTAGTTAATAGTACAATATTACCAGAGAAAAAACTATGCAAAATTAGGTTAACAACTCTTAATGCCTTTTTGGTAATGTTGTTACAGTAGACGCTGGGACTTAGATCTTTAGAAATGACCACTCTAAGGTCCTTGACAGAGTGCGGGTCATCTACAACAGTGTTTCTCAACCTTGGCAACTTGAAGATGTCCGGACTTCAACTCCCAGAATTCCCCAGCCAGCGAATGCTGCTGGGGAATTCTGGGAGTTGAAGTCCGGACATCTTCAAGTTGCCAAGGTTGAAAAACACTGATCTACAAGATCATGTTGTATTTTATATTCTGGGGTTTTTTTTGCCTTCATTTGATAAAGACCATTCTTTAATTTCTGATCATAGTTTTAGCAAAAGATTGGGGAATAAAAAAAGGAAGCACTGAAAACATTGTCTTTGGTAGCTGGCAAATTATTGGATAAGGATAACAGGTTTTCTTCAGCATAGTTCACATTCAGAATTTCCTTAAAGTTCTTTGATTTAGAAATTTAATGTGCTCAATGAAGAACATCTTAAATGAGTTGTGACACAATAATTGCACTGCCACCCCTTCAATAATTTTGCAGGAAGACCTTCTCTGATTTTATTTTTAAAATTTACCCCATTTACAATCTTTAAGTAGCTTTGGTCTTGTTACGGGCAATATTTTGTTACTCAAAAGTTGCATTTAACATTTGGATGCTTTGGGAGTTGGCTGAGTGAGAAGCATACATGGGTAAAACTGGGATGGGATGAACAGTTTGCTCATTCTAATTTTAATCTTTGGAGCCATGAACAGCTGGAAGACAGGGAAAACATAATCGACCCAATTATTTGGAATTAACCTTGTACCCATCCTGGCAGAAAATATTCAATATTGATGCATAGAGCAGGAATCTAAAACAGTCTGGAAAGCAAAGGAGATAGCAAAATGTAAGCAAAAGATGATCAGAACAATTAAGTCTTCCAGGGCTTGGAATCATCCCATTACATACATCCTTCTGCATCATGCCTAACTCTAACTTGGAGTGATACATGGGTTTGGTAGTCCCAAATCACTTTGCCATTGTCAAATTTCATTCTTGGTCAACATCTAAGTAAAGGATGCGGTACAGGAGACAGCGGTGCGAACAGGCTTAAATCTTTGGAGAATCAAATCTACTGCAGGGATTCTTAATACTGATAAAGGTGCTTCCAGGGGGGAAATTCTCCATGGGTTGTGTCCCTATGCCATGAGTGGCAATTCTTGCATTTTAACCAGCTGATTTGTGTGACTTTAGGCTCCTTTTGTATGTCATGAAAAATATATATTGTCTTTCAAAAATACAAAGTGGCCATCAAAAGCATTCCAGATCCTACCTTTGTAATCTCCTAACAAGATATGCTTTCTTACATGCCAAGGATGGAGATCAGTGTAATGTCTAAACACTTAAAAGAGAATAAATGTGGCATTCAAATTCTAGTTTGCAGAATGACACGCTGAGTATCTGCGACTTCTTCTCCACCACAATGATTCAGACGCAGGAACTATGCATATTGAAAGCTGGAGAGAAGTTCTCATGTATTTTCAGAGAGTCATTAAGCACCACAATTTTTTTTTTAAAAAAAAGAAACCTATGGCCAAAGATGGGTTGTATGATTAAAAATGAGCCAGGAAAAGAAAAAAAATTTTTTGCAACCACCACAGACATTCAAGTTGAAATCTGTATAGTCATCAAGGTAAAGGTAAAAGTTCCCTTCGTGCATATGTGTTAGTCGTTCCCGACTCTAGGGGGCAGTGCTCATCACCATTTCAAAGCCAAAGAGCCAGAGCTGTCCGAAGACGTCTCTGTGGTCATGTGGCCGGCATGACTAAACACAGAAGGTGCACGGAACGCTGTTACCTTCCCACCAAAGGTGCTCCCTATTTTTCTACTTGCATTTTTNCTTCATAGGGCTTTCAGCCCTCTCTAAGCGGTTTACAGAGTCAGCATATCGCCCCCACAGTTTGGGTCCTGATTTCACCCACCTCGGAAGGATGGAAGGCTAAGTCAACCTTGAGATTTGAACAGCCGAACTGCAGATAACAGTCAGCTGAAGTGGCTCCAGTACAGCACGCTAACCACTGCGCCACCTTGGCTATGCCAAGGCTCAGTGGTTAAGACGCTGGGTTTGTTAGCTAGAAAGACGACAGCTTAGGTTTGAGTCCCGAGTGCTGCATTAC